AGAGATTGGGGAGCATGATGTGAAATTTCCAAAGAATAAAAAATTGTTATAAAAAATAAAAAAGAAAGGCTAAAGTAACAATCAAGTGTCCAACACAAGACATTATAAAGAAACTATGTTTTTAAAAATCTGGGAAAGGGAACTAGAGATAGAAACAGAAACGACTTAACTAACAAATACAACAAAACCAGAAACACTGAAGAGAACAATGGGAAACTCAGTTGTGTTTCAGGACAACTGATAGAACACAGCCTAATTTGCACACCTATTTTTGTATGATCCATGAGCTAAGAGTAGCTTTCACAATTTTATTTTTATTTTATATGCCTTTGTGAGTCTGTGTTTTCAGAAGCTGGTATTTGTGAACTGCCTGATGCAGGTGCTGATATCCAAATGCCAGTCCTATTACAGGATACTAAGCACTGGTTTTCACATCTTATAATATTTCATGAAAAGTAATCAGAAGGAAAATATTTTGAGACATAGACTTTCAAGGGTTTAGGGGATACTTGAGATAGGCTCTAGTGATTTAACTTTGGATTTCCTATGTAACCCAGGCTACCCTTGAATTTGTTCCAATCCTCCTGTCTCAGTCTCCCCAACTGCTGAGATTACAGGTGTGCATACCACCATGCTGTCCAAGTTTTTCAACCCTTGACACAACAACCAAGTACAGAATATACATTTTAAAACTATCTGATGATTAAAAACTTGAATGAAAAATGCATGACCCAAAAGTCTGTAGAATTTAAAACTCACTATCTCTGTTAGGAATAGTTTGTAGCCCACAATATCTACAATTAGTTTCTATGGGAAATACATTGGTTCTAAGTAAAGGTAGATTACCCTGATCTGTTGTATCAAGACAAAAATTAGAGAAAAAAATAACATTGATTAAAATCTCACCAAAAAAAGCATAAGAAAAATTAAAGCCAGATGAACGCATGTGACCACATTTAGTTATGCTTCATAATTTTAAAATATTAAAGGTTGAAAGAATAGAAATAAATAAGCAATAAAATATACACATTTCCAGGGTAAAGGGCACTATGAAATACCAGCTCACATCAGAAGAGAACAAAGGAGAAACCAAGCAAGGAGCTGCTGTGGAGAGTTTGATGGGATGGCAAACACTGAAGAAATGCATCACAGATGTTGACCTAGCATCTAAAATAAAACCATAAGGTCACCCAGAATGTCAAAATAGACTCAGCACCACAAAGCAGTATGACATCTGGAAGTTAATTTGTGTAATAGGGAAGATTTATGGGTTCATATCTATTCTGTCATTCTAAATAATAATCAGAGAGATTCCCAGAAATACAATATTGATTTGAGAATAGAGTATAATTGCAATAAGAATACACACCCCTCAATAAAGTCTGTGATATTCAAGGAAGAGAAGCAAAAGAAAATTTTAAAGGCAAAAATGAGGAGAGTTGCATAAGGTTTTATTTGTTTTGTTGTTTGTTTGGCTTTTGGTTTTTTGAGACAGGGTTCCTCTGTGGCTTTGGAGGCTGTTGTCCTGGAAGTAGCTCTTGTAGGCCAGGCTGGTCTTGAACTCATAGAGATCCACCTACCTCTGCCTCTCAAGTGCTGGGATTAAAGGCATGCTCCGCCACCACCCGTCAGTATTCTTAAATAATAATCCTTGGCTGCAAGAATTAATAATAAGAGTAGAGGCAGTCCAAGGTTGAATGATACTTTTAAGGCGCACATGCGTGCGTGCGTGCGTGCGTGCGTGCGTGCGTGCGTGTGTGTGTGTGTGTGTGTGTGTGTGTGTGTGTGTGTGTGTGTACACAGCTGCAGTGATTTTTATGAAAGGCTGTGGTTCTGGTAGAGTCCTTTCTGATGATACTATTATTATAGCAGGCTTTCTCTTTTTTTTTTATTTTAAAACAATCTTTTCTCATTTTTACATACCAATCTCAGTTCCCACTCCCTCCCCTCCTCCTGCTCTCCTCACCTTTCCCCTGCCACACCCCTCATCCACTCCTCAGAGAGGGTAAGATTTCCCATGGGGACTCAAGGCACATCACTGTGAAGCTGGATCAAGGCCCTCTTCCCTGTAATCTGAGTAAGGTGTCCCTCCAAAGAGAATGGGCTCCAAAAACCAGTTCAAGCACTGAGGATAAATCCTGGCGGCACTGCCAGTGGCTCCACAGACTGCCCAAGCCACACGACTGTCACCTACACTCAGAGGATCTAGTTTGGTCCTATGCAGGTTCCCCTGCTGTCAGTCCAGAGTCAGTGAACTCCCACTACCTCAGGTCAGCTGTCTCTGTGGGATATCCCCAAAATGGTCCTGACCCCTTTGCTCATATTATCTATCACTCCTCCCTCTCTTCTACTGAACTCTGGGAGTTCCCCCCTCCCCCACCCAGTACTGTGATCTGTGAATCTGCTTCCATCAGTTGCTGGATGAAGGTTCTATGATGACAATTAAGGTAGTCATCAATGTGATTACAGGGGAAGGCCAGTTCAGGGACCCTCTTCTATTGCTTAGTCTTAGTTGTATTCCTGGAAATTTCCCTAGTGCCCAGTTTCTCAATAACCCCATAATGACTCCCTCAATCAAGGTATCTCTTTCCTTGCTCTCCCTCTCTGTCCTTGCCCCATCTCAACCATCCAGTTCCCTCATGTTCTCCTCCCTCTCTCTCCTCCCTTCCCTTTTACCCCCTCACAATTTTCTCGGGAGATCTTGTCTATTTCCCCTTCCCAGGGGGATCCATGTATGACTTTCTTAGGGTTTCTCCTTATGAGTGAGTGAATACCATGTTTGTGTTTCTGAGCCTGGATTACCTCCCTGAGGATGGCTTTTTCTAATTTCATCCCTTTGCCTGCAAATTTCAAGATGATAATTGTTTTTTACCACTGAGTAGTACTCAACTGTGTAAATGTACATTTTCTTTATCCATTCTTCAGTTGAGGGGTATCTAGGTTGTTTTCAAGTTCTGGTTATTACAAACAATGCTGATATGAACATAGCTGAGCAAGTGTCCTTATGGTATGAATGGTGGGTCTTGAGGTGGATTGATTCCCAATTTTCTGAGAAACCAACATACTGATTTCCAAAGTGGCTGTACAAGTTTGCACTCCCCTCAGCAATGGACGAGTGTTCCCCTTTCTCCACATCTTCTCCAGCATGAACTATCATCGGTGTTTTTTATCTTAGACATTCTGACTGGTGTAAAATGGTATGTCAGAGTCGTTTTGACTTGCATTTCCCTGATGGCTAGGAATGTTGAGCAACAATTCTTTAAGTGTCGTTAGGTAGCAGGTTTTCTATACCACCCAAAACCACCACCCCACATCAATCATTAAGGAAATACTACACAGGCTTTCCTACAGGCCAATTTGGTGGGGGGATTTTCTCAGCTAAGGCCCTTCTTCCCCAATGTCTGTAGTCTGTGTCAACCTGTAACACAGTATCAGAAAAAACACCTAGCACCAATGCAAAGTAAAATAAGTTAGACACAAAGGACAAGTGATTCCATTTGATTCCATTTATTTGAGCTAAGCATAGTGAACAAATGTATTCAAACAAAAAATAGAAAAGGTGCTTGGGGCTGAGCATGTGGGCAGGGGTTGGGGGATTACCAGAGTCTAAGAAACAGAACCTTCATCCAGCTACTGATGAAAGCAGAGGCAGATACCCACAGACAAACACTGAAATGGACTCCTGGAATCCACTGTCAGAAAGGGAGAACTGATGGGCAAAGGAGTTAAGACTGGGCTGGTTTAACCCACAGAAACAGCTAACCTGAACAAGGGGGAGCTCTTGGACCCCAGATTGATGGCTGTGTGGAAAGCATGTGACTGACTCAGACCCCCTGAATGTGGGTGTCAGTGAGGAGGCCTAGGCAATCTATGAGGCCTTGGGTAGTATTTATCCCTGGTGTACAAATAGACTTTGCCCATCCCACAATGAGGGATGCTCTCTCAGCCTGGACTCTTGAACGAGGGCCTAGACCCACCCTGGATGACATGACAGACTCTGGAGATCCACCATAAAGGGCCTCACCCTCCCTGGGGATCAGAGTGAAGATTGGGTGGGAGACTGGGGGGCCTAGTGGGGAGGGATGGGGAGGAGGGAAAGGAGAGGGAACTGGGATTGACATGTGAAACAAAGTTGTTTCTAACTTAAATTAAAAAAGGAAGAGGAAAAAAAAGAAAACTAATGCATGGTCTGTACACAAAACTATTCTAGTAGAGTAGTGGCAAATTCCTAGTTCAGGAGCAAAAAAAAAAAAAAATTGGATGTGGACAGAGGGAAAGAGCGTGTGAGGAAAATAGAACCAAGTGGTATTCTAACAATTGCTGACTATGGTAGAGCACACGGGGTATTTCTACTATGACTATAACACTGGAAAGTTGGAGTCTTTTTGTTCTAAATACAAGTTTTTAAAGGGGTCTGAAACTTTTTTCTGCAAAGCAGTCCAGAGTCAACCTTCCAAAGTCCTTTCATGCTAGCATAGGGCTAACTGTAAACACTGGCCTAGAAATAAGTCAGGCACTAATGTACCATGATCTCCTTGTCTGTAGCAAATCACAAACCCTGGGTCTTAAAAAGGAGATTTAAGTTCAAGCAGCACAGATAAAAACGTATCAATCAGGTTGGAACCCTGACATTGTGAGTACCAGGAACCTAAGATTATTTTGAAAAAACAGTAGTACATAAACACTGGGGAAGCAATGGCAGTCTTCCTTCAATATTTAAAACGAACTGATTGTCCAAAACAGTTTTCCTGTTCACTTTATAGTCTTTTATTCATTTATTCTGGAACTATTTCACAGCTTTGAACCAAGTAAGGTTCACTAACAGAAGGGAGGAAACAGCAAATTGACTCCTTTCACTAAAACTGTCTCTGAAAACTACATGAGAAGTATATTGCACATTTATTGTGGCTAAAATAAAAGACATGACTGATGGGAAATAAGTAGAGTAAAACAAAAATATTATTTTTAAATGATGTCACACACACAGTTTCACAAGAGAATGAGTTGCAATTTAGCTTTATTTTTCACATCATTTCTATATACATTTTATACATATATATATCATAGATATACACTTGTAATTAAAAAGTCCATATAAAACCCAAGTGCTACAAAGGTGGAAATGGACATACTGCAGTAGATTTATGATACTTTGCTGTTTGAATACTTTTAAAATCAATTTTCAAGGAGATGACAAATCAAATACTATTACATTTTCAGGAGGCTCCATCATTCAAGTACATTCGATTGAAATAATAAGCCACATGACTGGCTGCAAAGGCCAGCAAAACAAACCACAATATTAAACAAATCGGAGCTTTCCTGTTCATTATTCTTAGGCCTAGAATTAGCTTCTAATGGGAAGTGCAGAGAATGACCATGATTCTATCCTTACACCATAAAACATCATGCTGACAACTCATCCTATATGTTTACTTAGATACTTGTTTAAAATAAATACTAAACAATTCAGTAAATAAATACTACAAATAACAATGTCTTGATTTATAAAACAGTACATCTCTTCCAATGTGCTTGGCAACTAGACATCACACCTGAAGGAGTTGTTTCAACACCCAATGAACAAAAACATGTATGTAACTCCTAGAGGATTCAGGAATCAATTCAGCTATTTCTCCCACATTACAGATATCACAATAGACATAGTAACTTAAAATAATGTTCGTCACCACAATTTTATCATGCTTAAAATGAACCATTGAGGTACAAAAGCATTCCACAACTTACCCGCAGTTGTGAATGGAATGAAGGGCAGATAGATAAAGGCATCTCTCATCTAAACTAAGCAAGTACTACATCTTAATACATGCACTCTCTTATGATCATATCAGCACAACTGACATAATTTAGGAAAGTCTGCTTAACCTGCTGATATTAGGAAAAACTTACTCTAAGACTCTATGCTTATCATATACTACTAAAGATTGTAAATGCAACATGATCATTTTCTGGGTCAGGTAATTGGTAAGTTACTTATTAAAGTTGACACAACTGATTGACAGGACAAGATTAACAATAAAAACTTAAACAAGTTCTAAGGAAGACACCTATTAACATGATGTTTTAGAAGCACTATTATACAACCTACAAAAATGTAAAGGTTCTGCAGATGTGAGTTTGTCACTACAGACACATTAAGCCACCTGCTAATCAGCCTGCTGCTCTTTATGGAAGCGGTCCAGCAGCGCACTTCTAATGTTCCCTGGTATCCTTTGATGCTTATCAATCAGGGCTTGAACAGCATTCTTGGTCTAGATAGAAAACAAAAGAAAAGCCACTACTGGTTTGGCCTTAGTGCACACACATCAATCATTGTAGGATTTTCATGTTATACTACTTGCAAAAGAACTTCTCTCCCACACCCATATCTTACAGGGCACTGCCTATGCTTTTTTCTAGCTATTTTAGTATTTCAAGTTGTCAGGGGCTCAGCAGAAGGAGAAATGGGAAGGGGTTCAGTGGGAATAGACTCAGTTTTTTCATAGTAAAAATTTTCAAATATGGATGTATTTAACAGAACTGAACTGTAAATATACCTGTTTTTGTTTTGTTTTGTTTCATCTTGTTTTGATTAAGACCAAGTCTCACTCAGAGACCCACTTACCACTAGCCCTTTCCCCAGAGCTAGGATTAATATCACACTAATTGTGCATCACCATGCTCAGCAAATTCACTTATTTTCCATCACAATTCAAAATCTTTTAAATGAATCCCACTAGTACAGTACAGAAAGGTACACAAAGGTACAGTACACAAAGGATATTAACAAAACATACACAGCAAGGGAGATAGCTCAGTGGCAGAGCACTTGCCTATCATGAGCCAAGACAGTTTGTTTTCCAGTTTTAGACTCTCCCAAAGCTTAATCCCTCCCAAGCAGAGCAGTCTTTTCTCACCCTCATGACTCTTTATCACTTTTCTAGATTACTGGTCACTTCAACATTTTACAAATCCCCACTAACTTCTGCCTTGAAAATCTTGAGGCTTCCAGTTATTGCACAGAACCTGACTTCTAAGTCTTTAGCATCAATTCTGCCTTTTTCCTTAACCCTCATTCTTATTATTAAAAATTTAGATATAGAAACGTATTTTTAGATTTCCTACAGATGCCTATAAATCTATCCCTGGCTTCTGAACACTAAATGTCTATAGTCATCCCCGATTCATATTCTTTCATGTCAGTAAAAATGTGACTGCCATGCCAAATGTCTCCAATGGGGCAAAATCACTGTTTGAGCATTTCTGGGATATAATACATAAACAATGAAATTTCAAATAGTTTAAAACAAAACTCTGTCCTAAGACTAAGAAAGAAAATACAAATTACCTTTTCAGCCAGCTCTTCTGCTGTTATCTTTGGGTCATATGGAATGGGATCACCTAAGTAGGTCCGCAACTTCACAGGAAAGCCTCCATACATTGGAGCAAACGGATAGCGGAATTTTTCATAAAGCCACTTAAATAATCCTGTTTTAAAGTAAGAAAAAAATCATTTTATTAGCCAAATGTGCTATGCATAGAACTGTAAGCTTTCTAATTAACCACAGAAGAGTTGCAGGAAGGTGGCAAAAATAGCAATTCTTATCAATTAATATACGAGTGTGAGTGTGCGTGCATGCGTGCATGCGTGCGTGCGTGCGATAGGCTTCTGAAGCTGGATGCTGAACCCAGTTCCTCACACATACTAAGCAAGCGATCTACCACTGAGCAACACGACTAGCAGAGCATTTCCTAAATGGAAGCTTTTCATCCGTTGTAACAAATGCAGCACACTGTTGCAATGTGCTCATCAGGATAGAGCTTATAGTCTGCTGAAGAGACAAGAATTTTTTGTGCTTTGTACTCAGTTTTCCTATAAATTTAAAAATAAAAGGAAAAATTAAATCAACCCATTAAGAGACCCAGTAACATTTTAAAAACACAAGAATCTCAGAAGACAAACCAGTGACTATTACTGGAGAACAAAGCCTGGTAAGTGCCAGCAAAGTTGGAAGCTGAAACGCTCAGGGACACAGAGCAAGTGATTTACAAGTACAAAAGACAAAGGAGCACAGGCCCAATTCACCCAGCACCACGCACAGGCCTGCTAGAGAAAACTATGTTTCAAATTCAGCAGGATTAAATTTAGAGGTATTAAAAGTAACAGCAGAAGGCTAAAAACAAAAACTGCAACAATGGAATCCAAGAAGGTAAGTTTCGTGAAATACATTAATTATGTACTGAAAATAGATTACATATAAAAACAGAAAAATTACTGTCACACACAAAGTAACGTATAAAAAAATTAAAATTAGCTAGGTATGATGATGTATGCCTATAATTCCAGCACTGGTGGGGATGGGGACAGAAGTAGGTGGATTTCTGTGAGGTGAAGGCCAGACTAGTCCACATAACAAGTTCCAGGCCAACCAGCGCTGCAACAATGAGACTATGCCTCAAAAATAAATAAATAAATAAAAGACAACAAATACTTAATTTAGAGATACTGAGCTTTAAATTTAAGTAAAACTGAAAATCAGTAAGTAGAATTTTGAAAATAACTTGTAATTGAAAAAACAGAATTTCTGTAATAATTTCTGATTTGCTATTTAAAATATTAACAAAGAATTAGAAATAATTTCTAAAATTAAATACAAAAAATGAGTTAAGACAATAGAACTTAAGGTTTGCTAAGGGATTTTTATGCGAATAGGAACAGTGACAGTTACAAAAAATATATTTAACTGAACATAATATATAAGCCACAAGCTAAAAACAAGCTGAACATTCCAAAATGAGGCATTTCAAAGTAGAAAAAAAATCCTAATTTTTATTCTTACAACTGAACAAATCTATATATAAACTGAATTTTTAATTAGTAAACTAAAGACAGATAAAAGAACTTGTCAATATAAACATTATGGCTTATAATTTTTTAATTAATGGGATAAACCAAAGCAAATGACATCCCCATCTCCTTATATGCCAATCTTAGTTTAATATGTAGGTCATCCAATTTAAAAACTAGTTTCTTCAGTTGACAGTATATAAATATATTCTAAATATTATCAACATAGCTTAGCACAAGATATTAGATGACTCCCTTTGAAGTTTTAAAAAGCCCATTCAAATAATCTCTAATTATGTTATAATACTCTTACCAAAAACTCAGGAGGCTGAAGCATGAAAATCACAAATTTGAGGCCAGCCCCAGTTTCCACAAAATAATAACTGCCATTACTTAGAACCAATTATCACTCAGAGTTTATAAAGAACAGTATCTAAATATTCATCTTCTAAAATTAGTAATTCAAAAGTTGCCAAGTGTGGTGATGCATGCCTTTAATCCCAGTACTTGGGAGACAGAGGCAGAAGGATCTCTGAGTTTGGAGCCAGTCTGGTTTACACAGTGAGTTCTAGGACATTCAGAACTACACAGTGAGACCTTGTCTCAAAAACAGAAAAAAAAAATCAAGTTTTCCTAATAGTGTTCAAAAGGCTTGTTTTATAGATTATACTATAATTAAAAACCATACGAATGAGAACTTACTTGTTCCTCCAAGTGATCTAAATCCTTCTCGAATATTTTGTGTAAACATAGGAATAATAGGCTAAAGAAAAGAATTTGAATTAAAAAGTAAATAAATAAATCCATTTAAGTTCTCCATTGAGTCACTAAGGCAACTTTTTTTGAAGGCACATTTGAAATCCTAAAAATAGATTTTCAAACCAAAGGCATAACTAAGGTAGTATCAAACTAAATTTGATTTCATCACTTATGAAAATATAAATTGAAAAGTCTATCCACTAGGTGCAATATGCAATTGTTTTAGCTACTGATTTTCCTTACATATAAACCCTTGAAACTCAAGAGGATTATAATACTCACTAATTTCATTAAGTAAAATGACTATGGTAAATTAGTTTTACTCATTCCTAAATATGCTCATTTAAAAAGTTACAAGATGAAGACACTTTGAAGGGTGTGGTGGGTAAGGAGAATGGCTCCCATAGGCTCATATAGTTGAATTCTTGTTCCTCAATGGAACTTCTTTGGAAGGATTAGGAGGTATGACCTTGTTGGAGAAGGTGTGTCACTGGGGGTGGACTTTGAGGTTTCAAAAGTCCAGGCCAGTCAGTGTGCTCTCTGATTCCAGCTTATAGATCAGATATGAATTCTCAGCTCCTTCTCCAGGCCCACCTGCCTGCTGCCATGCTTCCTGACCTGATTGATGGTCGTGGATTGTAACCCTCAAGAATCATAAGCCCCAAATTAAATGTTTTCTTACATAAGTTACCTTCATTGTGGCATTTGGTCACTGAAAGAGAAAAGTAACTAAGACAAAGGGAAAGTTTGCATCAGTTTAAATGATAGGTTTCAGCAAGATGTTCTCATGGAATTAGTAACACATCTTTGTGAACCCACTAAATCTAAAATATTCAGTACCAACAAAAAGTACGTATAAGAATTTTATGAAGTATATAAATTGAAGAATTTCAGATAACAAGTTTATAGGATAGTCCATGAACATCAATGTAATACATAATAATGGAAATATAAGGTCAATGTCAGAAAATAATAAAATATCATAATATTAAAAATCATAATATGGGAAGGTCATGTTATTGCAAATAGTAAAATATATCAAAATTGAATAAAATATTTTCATATATAAATAAATACACTGAACTAAATATTTTAGAATTGATAAACATGTGTGTGTACAGGTGTCCATGAAGTTCCACATTATCTGCAGAACTATACACCTCTACAAGCAAGGTTTTAGATAAAGATAATGATATTCTAAGTCTTTTCACTCACTTCCTGGGCAGAAGGAAACACAAGGATAAACTTCACACAACTTGTCCTCACATTGAACTAGCTGATCACCTGCTGTCCCCTCTCACCAGAGGGAAGACATCTAACATATTTCAGGGACACCTAATACATGTTTTGTTCACTGCTGTATCCCTCGCACTTAGAAAAGCACCTGGAATAGATGAGATAAAAGGAAGTTATGGATGGACTAAAGGAGGAATGAGTAAATACAGAAAGATGATTCTCCTAATGTTCTCTGTAACACAGAGGTTAGAGACAGGTGGCAGCCATGTCAACACTAGAACAAGCAGACATGGCTGTCAAATTGTATAATGATGAGATTCATTCATGAAACCACTACATAGAGATGACAACGTACACTGAATCCTTTTGTAAAAAAAAATCCACTACTATCTAAGATTACAAGTTTTGTAAAATGAAATGGCTGAAATACTAATGTTCTAAAAGTTACAGTCCCAGATTGAAAACTCAGAATGCACAAGCCAAACAGAAATCCTTTCCATTAACAGACAGTTTTTCTCCCTTGGTTGGAGCTGGTGACTGTGTCTACAGACAGGCATGGTCCCAAAAGTCTGTATTAAAGTGCGCTTCATGAGGATGATTCAAGTTCAACACCATTCCTTACATAGTTAAACTTCTAGAGAAGAACACTGTAGAAGCACATCATAGAAGAGAGCTTGCCTTAGCTGGCTGTCCTACAGTGTTAAGAGCATCAAGCTTCGATCCTTAAACACACAGCACTAGCTTATTACACACTGTACAGTCATTTAACGCTTTCCTTGTACATATCTGTATACAAGACAGCTGCATAAACAACTGAGAATTTACTATTTCTGTGCCCACATGGGTCTCTATGTATGTACACAAGTGTACAGATATGTAAAGCTAATGGCCACAGAGTCCTAACTTCTGCTAATAAAAATAGAGCAAACGCTAAACAAGTTGATTATCAAATCTAAGCCTGACTTTCTTCCATATGAAGAGTGGGAAGAAGCATAATTACCTTTATCTCAAAAGTTTTTATGGATAAAGTGAAATGCTACAAATAATGTTTAAATACAACGTTCCTTTCTTTTACATTTGTTATTTATTTTTAATTAACTGAACTAAGTTTTCCCCAACCTAAATTTGAAACTACCTGAATACTTACAGGAATTCACAAAATAAGAGATATGTGGTTCATATAAAAGTCTGTCCCAGACTGCCCTTTCTGGAGGGAAACAGAGGAGGAGTGGATCTGGGGGGGGGATGGAGGGCGGGGAAAGAGGAGTGGATCTGGGGGAGAAGGGAGGTGGTGGGGGAGGGACTGGGAGTAGGAAGGAGGGGAAACTGCAGTTGGGATGTAATATATGAGAGAAGAGTAAAAAGATAAAAATAAAAAGTGTGCCCCATTCAAATGACCTTTACATATTTTCTGCTGGTATTTTATGAACTACAACTGGATTCCCCTTTTAATTTCTTTCAGCATGTCCAGCTTCCTTTTTAAGTTATTCTGGGGAGGGCATTGTTGGGGATCATAGTCAAAGCCTGTCACATGATAAGTAAGCATTCTTTCAACAGTTACAGCCTTGGTACAGCAGTCCCTTTTTAAATGTAGCTAATCTTACCTCGTAGTTGTGTTTTCTCATAGATTATGTAAATTTGGTTTGGTCTATTATGGGATAGTTATCATTTACAACTGTGTAAGGTTTTTCCTGTAAAGATTTCCTCGCATCTCTAGAAGGCTCCTCCAATCTCAATGTCCACACTCACTGTGAAATGCAGTCTGGGATGCCTCAACTGAACTCAGCTCTGCTGATGCCTTGCTGAGACCAGAACCCTCCCATCCCTTGCTCTCAGCGCCTGAGTCTCCTCATCTATGCCATCAGACCAGTAGTTCTCAGCATCCCTAATGCCGCAACCCTTTAACACAGAGGTTCTCAACCTCCCTAACTCTAAGACCTTTAACACAGAGGTTCTCAACCTCCCTAACTCTAAGACCTTTAACACAGAGGTTCTCAACCTCCCTAACTCTAAGACCTTTAACACAGAGGTTCTCAACCTCCCTAACTCTAAGACCTTTAACACAGAGGTTCTCAACCTCCCTAACTCTAAGACCTTTAACACAGTGGTTCTCAACCTCCCTAACACTCAGACCCTTTATTTAACACAGTGGTTCTCAACCTCCCTAACTCTAAGACCTTTAACACAGTGGTTCTCAGCCTCCCTAATTCTGAGACCCTTTAACAGTTCCTCATGTTATGGTGATCCCCAACTATAAATTACTTAAGTTGCTGCTTCATAAATGTAACTTTGCTACTGTTATTAATCATAATGCAGATATCTGTGGTTTCTGATGATATTAAGCAACTCCTGACAAAGGATAGTTTGAGAATCACTGCATTAGAATATTACATGTCCCTCCCTGACTGTGCAGAGCCCTGGGACAAACCTCAAAAATGCTGTAAGCTATTTATCAGACTTATAGCGCTATTGGTAAATTCACAGCATTAAAACTTTGTATTTATTTTAAATTTATAGAAGGCTATTTCTCAAATATTTGGAATTTTATTTTAAAAATCTTAATTGAAATATCATAAAAGTTACCAAGAAATTCAAGAATCTGAGAAAGTTCTTGCCATTTTTCTCTTCCAGGTTCCCTAAGCAATATCTTCCTTAAAACTATCAACATAAGAATAAAGTATTAGAATTCCATGATAAATTTATATAAGACTCAAAACTATTTTTGTTATCTTTATCTGAAATTTATTTAAAAATCTTTCAAAATATAAATGTAAAACAGGTCAATGTTTTGTTTTAGATTAGAATTTTGTTCTTGCTTTAAAATATTCATTGCTTATTCTTAGTTTCACACGGTTGCAAGCAACCTTCTGTATTCCATATCCTCACAGTCTATGATTCTGGTTTCCACATCTGTGCTTGTAAAACTTTAGAAAATGGGTAAAATGTGGTATTAGCCAATTTTCTTCATTACTAGCACAGCTAATGCATAAATAAATTAAAAAGGGCTTTCTGAGTTAAGTAATCTGTGTTTAAAGACAAAAAAGCTAGTTCAACAAATACTTAAACCCTACTCAAAGTAAATCACTGCACTAAGGATTTGAATATAAAATTTAAAGTTACTCAAGGAAGGTACCAGTCTACTGTAGGACTGTTTTGCTTAAACACATATTTTAAAAGTTAGGAAGTAGATTCATTTAAACAAGGAACCCATAGTAAAGCACTATAGCAAAACCTTCTAAAAGTCACACAAAAGTAGGTGTATAGTAGGTACAGGAGAGAAAAGAGCTACTGAGCTCTTTGGAGTGTTTTGTCTTGCTGTAAACTTTGTAATTCAAATGTAACAATAACCATTCCCCTTCAGACAGTATTCTTTGATTAAAATGAATCACAGTTCTTCCTTTTTTAACCAACAGTCTACATTTACATGACGCACAGTTAGACAAAAGATGCAGGCTGATCTCCCTAAGGACAGCAACCTGAAATTCTAAGTTATTGCAGCTGACTCAACCTCCCAGATTGGAGAAAAAACCAAGAGTCCAGCAAAGGACAGCAATGTCCCATTCTGACAATAAGTATTCCTTAGGATAAAGTTTCTTAAGCTATGGAGAACAAAAAACAAAGAAATATTTTCCGAAGGCAAAAGAAAACATCAAAAGCACATTCATACTATTCAGTCTGGGAAATACAATAATTACAGAATCTCCCAAGTATTTTTAATTTTACTGATGAAGTCATTTGAAAAGTATTTTAGAAATATCTAAATTATACCACGGTCCATTTCTTATAATTATGTTATAAAATTTGATGAAAAATGACATTTATCACATACTACTTATATTGTTATAAAAACTGATTGTACATAAAAGAACTATTAAACCAAATTCATCCATGAAACAAACCAACCCATTTGTATCAAATTACCAAAGGTTTAAAAGACACAGAATGAGTTGACTGTATCATTAAAAAAAAAGAACTGAAAGAATGATAGGACTGTACAGAATTACAAATCTAATAAAGAAAGTGGAATTTATAACTGAAAAATAAAACTGTGTTGGATACTTGCCAAATTTCCAGGTCAGCAGTTTGTTTTGTAAGATGGCTTAAGGAATAGTCCTTATAAATCCTTAGGTATAGTAACTTCTATTACAATAAAAGAATCTGGCTTCATATATTTTGGCTCACGTCTTAAGCATTTCTTTGAAATTCAACTAAGCTTTGCTTCAAGAATTACTTTGCTATGACTTACCACTTTTGCATCAATTGCAACCTGAGCAAAGCCTTTACGATTACCCCATATGATGTTGTAGGTTTCATCACTAAGTAAGGCTTCTCGGACTCCACCTGGTGAGATAGCTAACAAATGGCCACTCCTCAGGATGTCAACACATTTTTCTCTTGGTCCATGAAGAGCACAAAATACATCTAGTAATAAACTGAACCCTGTAAAAAACATAATCACAAGATACATCTTTACTGTGTTCAATTCTTAAAGAGCAAAACTCATCATGATCTATGCCATTTACTACCCATACTTTTATAAACTTTCTTAAGTCAATAGCTCTTAAGGTACAAGTTCAGTTTCATTCATTCTGATCACCTACTATTGATTACTTAATTACTTCCTGGCTGATCGCCTCCTTACTATGGCTACTTTACATTTTCAAACTCTTAGTTAAAACTATCATGAAAATAGAGTCTTCACCCCATTTTACAGATGAGAAAACTTGGGCTTTTTTTAAAGTAGCAACTGGGCAGTGGTGGTGCACATCTTTAATCCCAACACTCCACCTTTAATCCCAGCACTTTGGAGGCAGATGCAGGTGGATCTCTGTGAGTTTGAGGTCAGCCTGGTCTACAGAGTGAGTTCCAGGACATCCAGAGTTACAGAGAAACCTGTCTCAAAAAAAAAAAAGTTAAATAGCATATTTAAAGTCATACAACCGAGGCTGCACTATGTCCAGTCAGTCCTAAGTGCCTTCCACTGAGTTTCATGCCAAATATATTCTCAAGTACTGTTAAAACAATCAGATATGATGTGTCATCGGCAACCAAAAACCTAGTCTCCCACTAACCCTGAACAAAGAGACCACCTGAAAATAAATCCCACTATGTTCAGCCATACCAAAATTAGCTAAGACTATAATCAAACCTATTGAAATAAGAGATGTATTAATGCTGCAATTAAATTTTTACAACAATAGTAAATATTGTTGAGAGTTTTAATCAACTGAGGTAGGGCATTCAAGAATAGCTAATTCCAAACCTTAACATTATATAGCTTTTCAAACTATGACTATTCCTTCATGAAAGACAGCCTGTCAATAAAGAAATACTTTAATGTGATTGCCACTGTACATGTATTTTCCAGCTTGAGACTGAGACCATGGATGGTCTGTGGACCTGGGCAGCAGACTAACATAGCTTCTCATTGCCTTAAGAGCTGAAACAACATTATAAATGTCAGCAAGATTGAAAAAGTGCTAACCCTGCACCAAAACCTCACTGACCTAATTAGGTGCACTCTCAGAGTAAATGAGAGGGAGGCAAATTACAAGGTAAAATACAGAATTTCTCTCTTGAACTAAGAAGTATTTTATAACTTCATAAAATAATAAATGACTAAAGGTAAATCAATGTCCAAAGTTGGTTTGAGCATAGAAGAAAAACTGTTTTGAAAAACCTAAAAATGGTCAGTTTTCTTATTTATGAAAAGGAAAAGCTAAAAGCAAACCCATGCTCCATAAGAGAGCCAACAGTGAAGTAAACACTTGAGCCACATATTAACACTGAGGCACTGTAAGATAGCAAAGCTTACATTAAATCTTAGGGGCATAAAATCCACAACGTTGTAAATGTGTGAAGATCTGTCACTCAAAAATCAAAATAACTAGTTATGATGACGTTGTAACATCCTCTGTTCCCAACCTATACCAAGTCGTCACATTCTTTTCAAAGGAAAGCCTTACATGTGGTTTAACATATACACAAAGTATAAAAGGTGTTCTAACACACACTAAAGCACTGACCATATGTATGGAAGGCACATGAGTAGACTGGTCCTTAACTTGCTGCTGGGTGTGAGTCTGCTTGCTGGGCAGCTCTGCTTTTATTACTGCAGACAACATACTATCAACTCTCCTGGCTTGTTTCTAATGATTTAGTGGTAAAAGAAAAGATTTATCCTCAGTAATTTCATTCAATGATCATCTTTAACTATTTTACCTTAAACAATTTGACTACACTTTAAAAAGCTATAAAGCTGTTATGAACAGATTTAAAATGTAGTCCTCAATCTCAAGGGCTTGAGTCTACGAGGCAGCTTATACACTGGAAGAGATGTAATGTATAAGCATACTCTTTAGGATAGTGAGGACAAAAAGATCCTGTACATTTTTTCCTAATTCTGATCTACTATTAAACTTTAACAGCATTAAACAAGAGAAAACATCATCTTGCAAAAATATAAAATTTTAACGACCTTGTATACAAAATTATGTATCCATCTTTTATTTCTACTTGAAAGTTCAAGATTTGGGTTAGGGATCTAGTTCAAGGTCAGAGCACATGCCTAGTATTCCATCTGCAGCATCACAAAAACCAAACAAAGTTCAAGAATTAAGCCTGCTATATGGGCATATGTGTCTGTAATCCACCTACCCAGTAAGCGGAGGCAGAAAGATTACTTAAGACCACAAGCTGAAAGCCAGTCTGGGTAGCCAGCAGCATCCTGTCTAAATTTTTAAAAGATTTGTTTTTTTAACTTAGAAAATACTGACTAAAGTTCTGTTAATAAAGAAAAACAAACAGGACTGGGGTGGGGGGAGGGTGCTGTAGTTCAGTAGTAGAGCATTTCCCTAGCATCTTCTCATCCCTAGGGATAAATCCCTAGCTCAGCCAAAAGAGGAGGAGGAACAGAATAACTGGAATCAGCGGGAGGGAAGGGGAAAGAGGGAGGGAAGGGAGGGAATTAGAGCCAGCAGTGGTGGTCACACCTAGAAATCCAGGACTCTTGAGAAGCTAAGGCAGGAGGATTACCCATTCAGGGTCAGTTTAAGCAACAGAGAAAAAAGTAGGTGACATTTTTTACTTTTTTTTTTCCAAGACATATTAAACTGAATAATTATTTTTTCAAATTTGTTATCTTAAAGAGGCAAAACACTTTATAACAATACTAAAGACAGACTACCACATAGTTTCATCACTACACACAGTTAAATTTTACCTGGGATTTTAAAGACAAAGTGGTCAGCTACTACTCGGCAAGTTCTGCCTTTGTGGATGAAAATTTTAGCCATGAAGTAGTAAAAGTCTATGGGAATAGCTCCATGATAAAATATTATAAGTGCTGGTCCTTCCGGTATCTTTTCCATCCCATGAACTTCATAACCTGTTTGAAAGACAAGTTGCTGATATTTAATGCAGTAACTTAAAACCTGTCTTGGCCTTCTGGATTCCCTTGAGATAGCTCTCCCCGCTTCCCTTTCTTTTCAGACATAGAATAATTTGGTTCTATAGTCTTAAAATGTGACAGAATAAGCAAGTCCCTTGAGTAGAGGGGTGACAGAGCGTGTGTCGGGAGTCCAGGAAGGTCACAGGATCCACCAGCAAGGGAGTCCAGAACACAGTCAAAGCAGAGCAGAGCTGTACAGACAATACTTAGCAGCAAGGAGTGCAGCCATGGTGATGGGTCAGACAGCACCCATACACGCATGGGCCTGAATGAAACAAGGACAGAATGCCCACAAGCATGGACTGGTACGAGAGAGAGGTTAGAACCAAATGCAGAGAAACAGGCCCTGGGCTAGTGCTGCCTCAGCAGCTGAGGACAGCCACCAGGGATCCCTGGAAACCTGACTTAGCTTCCCCACACTCATGGCCTTGCACACTCTCACCCACAAATGATTCACCGCCTAGTGTGAATGCACCTACTCTAGCAACCAAACTAAAATGAGTTATTTAAAAAGCTTCAAATCAGTGTTTCATTGTATTGGACAGGGAATCACAGAATGCTCTGAAATATCAGAGTATATACAATCTGAGGTAAATTTTAACTTCAAAATATAAAGTACTGAATACTTTCTGGCATAAAGATATTTTTAAGTAGTAAAAACATAAACAAAAACCTACTCAGTAACAAGCAACTAAATAAATTACTAAATTATTAAAAGTCATATTTATGAGGATTAATGGCATGAAAGGTACGTACCTATTTAGCCACACATATACAAATGATAAATAGAATTTTAACAAAGTTAATTTGCATGTTAAATTTGGTTTTTCGAGAGAGTGTATCTCTGTATTGTTTTAGAGCCTGTCCTGGAACTCACTCTGTAGACCAAGCTGGCCTTGAACTCATAGAGATCCTCCTGCCTCTGCCTTCCAAGGGCTGAGATTAAAAGCATGTGCCACCAATGCCCGGCTTTATTATATTTTTACAATGATCATGTTATTTCTTTTATGTTTCTGAAGTTTAAAAAGCACACATTAAAACTGATTTGAGTAAAACAAAATCCAAATGTAGACACAAATAACTTTTATTTATGTGACAAGATCAACTTTTTAAAAAGTTATCACTTACCCAGATAAAATGTTTCATCATGATAAAGCATTAAAGTGAGCTAAGTGCTGAATATTTTCTGTTCTCTGACCCTTAACTACACATCTAAAACTGCCTTGCAATCCCAGTGTAAAATAGTACTTCAATTTACCTATATTGTCTTATCTACTCATATGTAAGCCCAAATTGCTTAAAATATATATCTTCAAATAAAACTTGATATATAAAATTGGAGGAAGATGTAAATTCCTAACAAGTATCGTAAATGATGTCAATAAATGTCACTGTTTTAAATATCAACAAGTTGCAAGTCTGTGACAGGCACATGCATGCTAACTTACTGTTTTGTGTAAAACACTGACCGTGCCAGAGATCTGTACTGGCCAGAAGAGATTTAACAGTAAACAGTAAGAATTCACAGCATCAAAAGCATGATTTCTGTGTGCAAACCTCAATACCACAACTTCTGGCCCTGAATCCCTAGTGAAGGACTGATATACTGTTTGGGGTCTAGAACCCTTTGTCAAAGACTGTATCCTCACTCTGCTTCCTAGTGTACTTCAGAAATAAGTTTTCTGAAGCTCTGTTTCCTGAGGAGTAAAATGGAGATAATATATAAACTTTATCTATCATGATAAAGGGTTTTTTCTTTTATTGTTTTTTGAGACAGGGTTTCTCTGCATAGCTTTGGAGCCTATCCTTGAACTCTCTGTAGACCAGGCTGGCCTCGAACTCACAGAGAGCCGCCTGCCTCTGCCTCCCAAGTACTGGGATTAAAGGCGTGCGCCACCACCACCCTGCCTCATGATATAAGGTTTAAAGAAGTTGAAGTGGATAAAAGTATTTAACAGTGTTTAGAATGATAAGCACTCAAAAAGGAGGATTAGAGGATTTATAGATATTTAGTATGAATGTAGTGTTACATCAAAACATTAACCTAAGAGGCATATGATGGTGAGATTTCCTAATGACAGCCTACATCAGTGATGTGTATCACCAAGTGTCTATTTCAAAGTCTGTCTGGTCAGGAGGATCTCTGTGAGTTCAAGGCCAGTTTGGTCTACATACCAAGTTCCAGGACACTTAGCAATACAAAGAGAAACCCTGTTTAAAAACAAAAACAAAAAAAAAACAAAACTCTGCTCTGAAATCACTTTGAGTCTCAACAATAAGCTATAAAAATCCTTTGTCCACGGCAGGCAGTAGTGGTGCACGACTTTAATCTAGCACTCAGAAGGCAGAGGAAGGCAGATCTCTGAGTTCACAGCCAGCCTGGTCTACAGAGCAATAGTTCCAAGACAGGCTCCAAAGAGAAACCTATCTGAAAAAAAAAAAAAAGAAAGAAAGAAATCCTTGTTACACCATGTTTTGCCTCAAATGTGGTTTCACCCTCACCAAAACACTTGTGAGGCTGAATTGTTCAATGCAGCAGTTATAAGAAATGGGATCTACTGGGAGGTTGTTAGGTGTTGGGGCAGCACCCTCATGAATAGATCAAAGCAGTCTCCCATAAGCAAGTTTTACTCTGGGAACTAAATTACTTTAACTAATTTAGTTTGAAATTTTTAAGACAGGACCATAAGTGAAGTAGGCTATGTGACTACAAGCTAAGAAAGAAGCTTCTTCAGAGCAAAGGAAACAACAGTGTTCAGAGAAATCTTACAAAATGAGAAAACATTCACCAGCAGCACACTAGACAAGCCTGACATTAGGAATATATGAGGTCCAAAGAATCAACAGCACACCAAACAAATGTAAAAGGTCTAAAGATCAAGAAAGAGCTCTCTTCCTTCATCTTTCTGTAAAACTTTAGATTTATTTATTTTATGTATATGAATGTTTTGCCTATGTGGTTGTTTGTATACCACATGTGTGCCTGAAGTCCAAGGAGTCAAAAGAGGGCATTGGATTCCCTAACACTGGAGTTAGGAATGGTGCAAGTCACCACGTGGGTGCCAGGAACCCACTCTGGGTCCTCTGCAAGAGTAACAAGTACTCCAATGCTGAACCATTGGTTAAATGAAGACATACAGAAGTCTAGAATAGAGCATGGCCAGTAGAAACTGGAGGAGCAGGAGTGAAATAAAGAGTAGATGGACATTAATGCACAATGTGAGCACATGTGGAAACATTTCAGTGAATCCCAACTTGTATAATAATATGTCAGTAATTATTTTTTAAACAGCAGACTCTTATAAGTAAGGTTACCCTTTATGATTTCTTTCTTGCTGCTTGCACGAAGCTGCATGAGACTTTCACCGGGAGCCATGGAAGTATCTGTCTACCCTCTTAGGCTTTCAGAATTAAGCCATTTACAAATTACCCAATTTCAGGTATTCTGTTATAGAAACGAAATGTATTGAGGCACATATGGATCAAACCCTTGGCATTTTGACACAGTCCAAAGCATGTTATCTACAAATAAGGGACTGGTTGAAAAATCAAATAAAAATTGGTCAAGAAAATCATCAAATTCTTGAAAAGCAGACAATCAGAATTTTCAGACTGAACCTCTGGTCATTAAGTGTACAGCATCACAGCTTCTCAAGTCATAAATTAAGAGTAAATTCCTAGAGAGAAACGCATTGCCATCTCACTTACCTAGAAAGATACACCAAGTTCCTAGGTGAGTTAAACAACAAATAGGTAAACATCACAATACAACTTCTATTTAATGTTTACTATTACACCAACTTCCTAGGTGAGTCAAACAACCAATAGGTAAACATCAATATACAACTTCTATTTAATGTTTACTATTGTTATAATATTTCACTCTTAAAATGTCACATTGGTAGAATCAAATTTACTCTGAACACAGTAATAATGGCACATGCCTTTAATCCCAGCACTTGTGAGGCAGAGGCAAGCTGATCTCTATGAGTTCAAAATCAGCCTGTTCTACATAGAGAGTTCCAAGACAGCCAGGACTACATAGAAACTCTGCCTCTAAGAAGTAAAACAAAGCAAACAAACAAAAAAATTCTAGCCAAACCTGATGGTACTAGCTATATAACCCCAGGAGTATTCAGGAAGCCAAAGCAGGACTGCAAATCCCAAGCTGGCAAGACTACCAGCAGGACCCACCCTCTCTCGCACCAAATCTCAAATAACAAAACCAGGTGTGGCTGCAAAGACACAGAGGACCAGAGTTCAGTTTCCAGCACTAATTTAGGTGGCCCACAGCAGCCTGTAACTCAGCTCCATGGGATCTGACAGCCTCCTCCAGCCTCCACAGCACACTCACCCATATATGCATACACACACAATAAAAATAAATATTTAAAAACAACAAGGAAAAGCAGTTTCTATGAAATAGAGAAAGAACTACGAGGAGAGGTAGACTTCTGAAGGGAAAAGGAAGGAGGGAACAAAAGACAATAGCGGAACATAGATGAAATGAAAGCAGAGGGACCATTAAAAGAGGTGGGAGAGGGACAAGACCAGCTGTGACTATGGACAAAGTCTAATGGCAGATACATATGAAAATGCCGCAGTAAAAGCACTACTTTGCGTGGTAAGAAAACAAGAAGTTTTAATAGTTTTAAGTAATTTTTATAGATGTTTTACAGCAATTCTCATATTTCAATTTATAGTAATTAAAACAGAATTTTTACATGAATTCTTAAACAGAAATAAAGGTGCTTAGGAAAAAAATCAATTAAAGATATATATATATATACATATATATATACATACATATAAAATACATGTAAGCAGACTTAAAAAGGAATTTTCCCTTCCATTCTATTTTTCAGTAACTTCCCAATCAATAAACAGAAATATGTCAGTGCTCCACACCATGGAAACAAAGACCACAGCATCCCTGCTTACCATGCCAAACCGCTGCATGTCCATCCCACAGAGTTGCCACTGTTTTCCTCGCACCGTCCCATAAATTATGAGAGTAGGCTTCTTTTAACACATTCTTCCTCTTGTAGATATGGAGGAAAATAATAGTAAGGTAGAGAAGAAAGATAGTAAAGTAGGGGAGGATTAAAAGTATCAGTGGGGTAAAAACCCACAAGAGATGGCTTGCAAAATTCAAATAGTCCTCCAATTGCTCCACACCCAACCATTCTTCAAGCAGGTGAACCACACAAGTCATGTAGGGCACAGAGTCCGGTCCCACGGCACAGGTTTGGTTGTTGTCTAGCATTCTCTTTAGATGAGAATTCCAAATTCTGTCTCTTTCTTCATTGCCATATGTTTGAATTTCAACCCTAGGAGGGAAGAATAATCCAGTTAATCTCTTCCCAACTACACAGTTAAATATTTTAGTCTACATAAAAGATGAGTAGATTTTTTTAATGCTTAACTACAAAGTTATGAAGTGTTAGGTTTAGCTTGTAAAATAATTTGCAAGCTGTCACTGAGAGGGAAAAGCGGATGCAGAATAAAATTACAGCTCAAACTGTTAATCTAACTCATTTCTTCTGTGGATCATGCTGAACATTTTACTCTTTACACTGAGATGAACTGTGTCCTTCAAAAGGACAACATCAGCAAAGTTATCCAAAGCGTTGGGAAATGATGACATAGACTATATTTTCTTTTATAGAGAAACAGGTTTACATAAGAGCTCTTTTGACATTAAAGTTCCATACTACTTATCTTATAGTCACTAAAATTTCTATAAATGACTAAAAGCATAGCTACAAAAGTACTGTATGAAGTCATTCTCTAAAACAATTACTTGACTTACCAGAAATTGCACAAATATCTTGTCTCTGGCTTCAATACATATACTCTGAAAATACAGTAAGCAAGTGAAACATATTATTAAATAAAAGTCATTATACCTTAACTTTACATTTCCATGAACTAACTAAATTAATTAATTAATTTAAAAACAAAAACAGGGATGAAAAAAATTGAAAAGACACAAAAATTGGAAACATTGCATGTTCATGCTTTGGGGAAATTAATACTGGTTAAGGTGTGCATACTATTAAAAATGATACTGAGATTAAAAGAAATTCCAATAAAAAATACCAAAAACAATTAAAAAAAAGACATTCTTCACAGAAATAGAAAAATGTATTCACAGAACTAGAACAACTCCCAAACTCATAAAGCAACACAAAAGACTTGAATCCCCAAAGCAATCTGAGGAATGGGGATAATGCTGTAGTCAATACCACATCTGCCTTCAATGTGCACTACAGTAACCAAAACAACATGAAACTGACATAAAAACAGATATGCAGACCAATGGAACCAAAGAGAAACATAAAAATAAAGCACATACAATCAATTTATTTTCAACAAGGGCAGCAATGTTAGACTTTACACTTTAAAACTACTAGAAGAAAATATAGGGAAAAACTATGCCCCCAAAGCGCGAACATCAAAAGCAAAAAACTGACAATGGGAAAAACACTTGCAAACTATTCTTCCAACAGCACATTATTTCTAGACTATCGTAAGCACTCAAAAGGTTCAACAAGAAAAGCCCAAATAATCCCACTAAAAAGAGGGCAAGTGATTTGAATAGTCATTCCTCAGGAGATAATGCAAATACCAGCAGGCATATGAAAAATAGTCAACATTACAGTTGTAGTTACTCTTGACTTCAAGAGTATGAATTAAGAGCCACCTAAGAGGCAAACCTCTGAATGTCTTTGAGGATGTTTTTTCAGACTATGTTTTTCAGACTGAGGTGGGAAGTCTCACCCTAACTTTTGGTGTTACCAGCTCATGCTCTCCACACAGGAAGTTACTCTCAAAGACAAAGAATAGTGTACCAAGAGGTGGTAGCACACACCTTTAATCCCAGAACTCAGGGATTATAGAGGTGGGAGGATCTCTGTGAGTTGAGGTTAGCCTGGTCCACAGAGTGAGTTCCAGGACAGCCAAAGATACACAGAGAAACTCTGTCTGGAAAAAACAAAGCATTAGCAAAAAAAAAAAAAAAAAAAAAAAAAAAAGTGGGCTACCATAGCTCAAGAGGAGTGCAGGGGAGGAACGATCTATGATTTAATGGGTATGGGATACAGTCAAAAGGAAGAGTTAATTTGTTGTTTTGTTTTATTTTTCAAGACAGGGTTTCTCTGTGTAGCTTTGGAGCCTATCCTGGTACTCTCTCAGGCTAGCCTCGAACTCACAGAGATCCTCCTGCCTTTGTCTCCCAAGTGCTGGGAATAAAGACGTGCGCCACGAATGCCTGGCTTGGTAGAGTTAATTTTTAAAGCCTAGTAGAAAAACTGTGATTCACAAAATGAGTATCCAAAAACAGCTAATAGAACATTTTGATTGTTCCCAACACAAAGAAATGATATATCCGAGGTTAGAGGTCTATCAGTTCCTCGAACGTGATCACGAATGCATGCTGTATACATGCACTGAAATGCTGCCCTGTACCCCAGAAATATATAAAATTATTAGTTCCCATTTACTTCTTAAAGAATTTTAAAATATTCTTATTACCTGATCCCATGGGGAGGATGCATGAACATGGCTGTTCGAGTGGAGGAGGAACACAACTTTCATGAGATAGGTCAAGCTTTGTGGCTTATTAGCCTTTAACCAACACCCATGTGTCATTTAACAATAAAAAGAAAAAAAAAAACTTTGCGATTTCAAGCTTCTACCTCCAGGTTTTGACATGCATTACATTTCAAGGAATTTGTTGTCTTTTTTTTTAATGTAAAAATGCTCTTCTACTTTTGGCTAAAATCTTCCACTCTTTTGATGACTACTGTTCAATACTGTACCATATTCTAAGTCTAGTCACTCACTCCAATAATGCTGTAATACACATTCATTTATCTATTACTTACTTTGAAGCAGTTTCTACTGTGTAACCCTGACTGGCTTTACAGACCAAGCTGGCCTTGAACTCAGAGATCTGCCTGCCTCTGCCTCTGCCTCCCAAATCTAAAATTAAGGTGTGTGCCACCATGTCCAGGTATAATACACATCTAGACTGATGCGTCTGCAATTGCAGTACTCTTTCCTTCCTAACTTCTAAACTCAGTGTCTTTGAATTTGTTAATAATGAGGGAATAAACATTTCCTTTGAAAATTAAATGAGCATTCTAAGTATCTGAACTTCAACTCAGTTCTTACATAGCCAATAAAAAGTAACAATGACATTTCAGCGTTAATAATTAAACGAAATAAGTCCTCAATGACGCAACAACCTTGGAGCAAAATAGTTTGTTTTGGTTTTGAAGAAGCTGTTGGCCAGTCTGAAGCAGCACCTAGTACTGAATGCTTCTCACACCCAAATACAACAATACTGTACGTTTTCTATATCCAATTTATGTATTACTATTTCTTACTAAATGTTTAGTGGACTGGGAAACCCAGCGACCGAAGCAGCGCAGACCGACTTGAATTTGCAAATATAGAAGTTTAAGAGTTGCTTCCTTTGATCCTTTCCGCAACCTCATGGGGTAAGTTGTTGCTACTCTGCCCCTTTTTATAAATGAGCAGAATCTATTCAGAAAGACCAAGTCACTTGGTACTAAAGATCACAAACTAGGACTCCAAGCCTGCTCCGGCGGCACATCAACAAGCCTCGGCTCGCCAGCCTCACGCCCCCTCCAGCTCCATCCTGCGAGCGGGACGGAGCCATCACCAGGCGTGCGGGACGCCCAGCCTCACAAGAAAACCGCGGGAAGTCCCGGGAGCGGGAGGATGCGGGTCACCGAGAGCTCCGGGTGACGGGTGTGACAATAACTCGGCTCCCCGCCGGGGCAGCGCAGACGCAGAGACTAGGGGACCGGCCCGCCTTTCCGCTCCCGGCGTCTGCGATCCGGACACCTCGGCCGCCACAGGCTGCAGCAGCGCGGGAGGTCCATGTGGGGCCCCACGCACCTGTCGCGGAAGGCACGGGAAGCCGGGCTGCCCTCGGCGACGTCGGCGGCTAATCAGTGTCCGAGCTGCCGGGAGAGGCAGACACTCGGGCTCAGCAGGCTTCCTTCAGATTGCCGTGGGGAAGAAACCCGGGCCGCCTGGAATGTGACACGGCCCTCGTCCCGCCCCTTCCTGCGGCCTCCGTAGCTGCTTCCGGCGGCGCGCCTGGCGGGCTCCGGGCTCGAGCGTCCCCGGGCTCGTTCCTGCTCCTCCGACCCCGGGCTCGGTGAGTCCTTTCTGTCTCCAGCACCGGAGCAGAGCCCAGCCCCGCCGCGGACAGGACAGCGACCCCCGAGGACGACATGTGCTGTGAGAAGTGGAACCACGTGGCCGAAATGCTGCTCTTCATTGAGGACCGCGAGGAGGAGTACAAGATCCTCTGCCTCTGCTCCCGGGCGTTTGTGGAGTAAGTCGCCACTGTCGTCTTCCTTTTTATCCTTGCTCGGGATGGTGGGTGTAGCCGAGGTCGAGTAAGGCTTTCCTGAAAGCCTGACGACCTGCTTCTGGGGCTGAGTAGTGTCCGAGAAAGCTCGAAGCCCCTCGGGCGTGACGGGACGGTCTCCTACTGCCGCTACTCAAGGAAAGGTTGTCATTTTTATTTTTAAAAAATGGTAGCTTGCATATGTTATTTCGCGTTTATAAATGAAGGGCCGATCTCAAAGTTGGGTGAGTTAGACCAGGTGTCCAGGGTCTGTAGTCCTAGCGACTCAGTAGGAAGTTCGAGATCAGCTTGAACTACACCAATGAGATGGAGGTGTGAGTGTAAACCGATAGAGCATAATAAAGGTGAAGGCTCAAAATAGAGCTCTCTTTTCAAACTGTAAAATCTTCCAACAAGAATTCACATAATCGAAACTTTTAATTCCAATAGAGATGAAAGGCTTAAGAATGTTCATAGCAGTTGTGGGAGAAATGTTTGTTTCATGTTAAAAATTGCTTGAATGAGCCTGGTGGTGGTGGTGCATGCCTTTAATCCCAGCACTAGGGAGGCAGAGGCAGGCGGATCTCTGTGAAAGAACCCACTGGTAATAAAAGCGCTGACAAAAAATTCGAAACTAGAATTCTTTTTTATCATGTTAATGATATGAAGTAAGCCACCTAAGTCGGGGTTGTTTGTTTGCCCATAGAAAATGTTTATTTACCCCAGTGTCACATGCTTCTTGATAGATTCAGATCTTTGTGGGGGTGAATTTTATAGCTTAAGAATTTAAGTTAGCAGGTATTCTTTTTCATTATGTACTTGGGGAGAAATCTGAAAGTTCCTGGAAGACGAAATAAAACACCAGGTTAAATTTAATATATAAAAACACTGTCCTCTTTGTAGTCAGATGTGGTTTTGATTCAGTGAAGATTTTTGTTTGGTTTGCTTTTGTGTGTGCATCTATTAGATGTGCTGGTAGGCAATGGAATATAAGACAGAACTAGGCTTCCTTGAATTTCTAAGCAAAGATCAGTATTGCACTAAGGTAGTTGCTTACACAATTGCTCGGTTAATTGTGGTTGTGAGTCAGGATAGTAGTGCTTTGGTATGAATCTGTGGCAGGGTAGAGAGTGGAAGTTATGAGATCTCAGGAAGGGAAAGCAACACCTCCATTCAAAGTCTTCTTGAAGTCTCATGTCAACTCAAAATCAAGAATACCAGTATCCTAAGCAAAATTTGCTGTGAAGATGGCCTGAGTGGAGACAGTGTCCCTTTTATTTTGTTTTGGGTAAGAATGTTAAAGTAGGGCTGTGAGATGGCTCAATGAGTAAAGGCTTTGACCACCAATACTGAGGACCTGAGTTCAACCTCAGGACCCACAGGCTGGACGGAGAGAATCAACCCCAAAAGTTTAAGACATGGTCTTGCCAAGTGACTCTGACTAGCCTGAAACTCTCTTTGTGGATCAGACTGGCCTCAAACTCACAGAGCTCTCTGCCTGCCTCTGCCTCCCAACACTAGATTAAAGGTGTGCACCACCACGCCCTGCTATATGTAGTTTTCTTAAGAGAATGCTAAAATAACAATTAGCCGTGTTTAAGCATAAGCATTTATGGTCTTACTAGTGTGAACCTGAAATTTCCTAGGAATGGCACCTAAGACTGGTTTTATTTACAGTAAAAACATCTTAATTCCCGTAGACCAGTAATTCTCAACCTTCCTGATGCTGTTACCCTTTAATGCAGTTCCTGGTGGGTGCTGTGTTGACCCCCAACCATAAAGTTATTTTGATGCTGCTTTATAACTGCAATTTTGCTACTGTTATGAATCCTAATGTAAAGATCTGTGTTTTCCAATGGATGTGGGCAGAGCCGCTGCCCCACGCCATTATCAGCTATAATCCTATGATCAGAAGCTGTTCTGTAATCTTATGTAAATTTCTTAGCGACCCACTGAGATGGAGCATCAGAAGCCAACAGAAAAATGTGGCTATTTGTTCAAATGAGAAATGACCCCCAAAGATAGGTCTTTGAGCCCTTGGCCCCCATTTGGTGGCACTGTTTGGGAAGATGTTGCATCCTTGCTGGAGGAAGTAGATCACTTGGGTTTTTGAGCGTTCATAGCATCATCACTTCTACTTTGCATTCTCTCTGCTTCATGTTTCCAGTTGAAGATGTGGTCTCTCAGCCTCCTGTTCCAATTGCCTGCTGCTATGTCTCCCTTGACATTGTGGACTCTCCCTCTGGAATTGTAAGCCAAAATAAATTCTTCCCTAAGTTGCTTTTGGTCATGGTATTTTATTGCAGCAACAGAAAGTAATTAGGACAGAGGTTGGTACCAGAAAATGGACTATTGCTGTGAAAAGCCTTGCCATGTTGGGGTTTTGTTTTGTTTTGGTGGGAGATGTGGAAGACTTAGGAACTTTGGATTAAAAAAGGATGAGTGCTATAAACAGCTTAGCAGTAGTGTTGAGAGTAAGGCAAGCAATGTAGGCCCAACTGAAAAGGGAACTCAGCCAATCCTAGGATGTTTTGGCAAATTCTAGCTATTTTCTACCCATGTCCTGAGTACTTTCCTGAAGCTAAAAGTATTGAATTTATTTCTTTGGCAGAGAAACCTTCAAGAATACATGAATCTGGTGTGATTATGCTGATTTCCCTTATCTAGGTCTATAATGAAAGGGAGTAATGAGACAAAAAGAAACAGAAAATGTAGACAGTTTGTGGAGAAAAGGATTACTAGAAAGCTTATGTACAACCAAGACATGTGCTAGAAGAGAGGCTCTAACTGGTAATGAGATTATCACAGCTGGGGAGAGGCCTTCTACTCTGCACTAGAACAAAGAAGAGTGCCATGAACTTCGCCTAGCCAGCCCCCAGCTTGTGAACAAAAGGGGCAAAGTTTTCTGCTCCTAGAAAGCAGTGGCACAAAAAAGCTCCTGCAGTTGTGATTCACAGGGTCCAGGGTCTGTCCCAGCCAAGCAGCCAAATGTGGCAGTTTTCTATGTGATAGTGGCTTTGCAGTCAGGAAAGGTGCAAGGGTGAAGGGTCCTGGATTTTTCCTGAATGGTTTTAGAGAGCTTCTAAGAGAAGCCACACAACATGTTACATGGCTGGAGTCGCTACATAACATGAAGGGCCTTAAAAAGCCATTGCCTGTAGTTGTAAAAATGAATCCTAAGTGGAGAACCCAAGTTAATGAAGATGCCAGGGTCATGAGACAAAGTTTATGTCAGTCTCGGTGGGTCAGAAAGGGCAGCACCCAGACCACTTCTTAGATGAAGACAGAATGTTTAACTTCAAAGCAGAAACGAAGCTTAGGGAGCTGAGTTGGAGATGAAGAAGTTTTTAACACAGGTGAGCATGACTGTTACTAGAAGAAGGAATGCATATCAAGAGGAGACACACCCCAGGAACTTAGGTTTGAGCTTCTCTAACGTGTCCTGCTATGTCTTTCACATTAGCTGTAATTGTTGTTTTATTGTTGCTGTAATAAACACCATGACCAAAGGCAACTTGCACAAGAGTATTTTAGCTTAATTTTTCAGAGGAAGAGTCCACGTCAGGGGAGGCATGACAGCAGACAGCTGGAGCCTGAAGCTGAAAGAATGGAGTCTAGAAGTGGGCAAAGCTATGAAGTCTTAAATCCTGCCCCAGGTAGTACATTTCATCCAGCAAGAATTCACTACCTCTTAAACAGTGCCATCGCCTGGGGACCAGTGTTCAAATACATGACCCTGTATCACTCAAACCACCACTTTGTGACACCCGCAGGCTCATGACCTCTGCGTGGGTGTGGGTGAATGGGTATGTATGTAATGCATGTATATAAGTGGATGCACACACTCTTGTGCATGAGGAGGCCAGAGGAGAATGCATAATATTTTCTTCTATCCCTCTCTACCTTATTCCTTTAAGACAGGGTCTGTCACTGAAAATCACAGCTTGCTTTTCTGGCCAGCGACCTCCTTTGCCAAACCCTGGAGTTACAGGCATGCACTGTAACGGTTCTTACCCATAAAACTATTTCTTCATTCCTCTGCCCACCCCACCCCCTACTTTTGGCAGCAGTATTATGGTAGTTATGAGAATGGCCCCCATATTCCTGTATGTTTGAATCCAATTGCTGAAACTCTCTGGTGTAACATGTACTCTTTCCCACCAGCTGCCTGGGTCCCTCTGCTGTCTCTGCCCTCAAATAACACATGAGACACTATTATTAATTATGAAGCTGTTGGCCATTTGCTATGGTTTCTTCCTGGCTATCTCTGACTTAATTATTAACCCTAACTGCTAATCTGATTATTTCCACATGGTCTTCTCTTACCAGTCTTACCAGAGAAAGTGTCCGGACCTCTTACTCCTCTGGCATCCTACATGGTACC